TTGAATTCCTAAGATTCCAGTTCTATTTCATCTTTTATCTTCTAAGCCCCCCTGCATCTCCCCAGCATCCCCTCATGCCATTCTTTGTAGTGTTCCTCACACCTGTGATGGCTGTTGTTTTACGCTCACCTCCAGTCTGTGGAACCTTGTCCCCAGGATCTATCCCAGGAAGGTCACGCTCAGCATAAATGAATGAAAAGCAGATGGCCGAAAGTGTTTTGATGGTTTGAATTTCACTCTTTCCCACCTCTAGTGTTTCACTCTGGGTACCAAAGCTCGGTTTTTCTCCCAGGCCCATAATATATGCCATCAGTACCTAGGTTTCTATTTGAATTAAGTAACAGTAGTCTTAAAATAAATACATAAACCAAACTGTGACTGATAATCTGTCATCTGCTGTGTGTAATCTTGTTTAATTTACTCATTATTGTATTTGATTATATATACACTTAAAAAAAACCCTCAACAAGTGAAAGAGCATTTGCTTTGCATATGTGAGGTTATGGGTTGAATCCCTAACTACACACAAACACACACACACACAGAACACACACAACACACACACCAATAACCCACCAGAATTCTTCCCAGGAACACACGTGTGTGTATGTGTCTCACCTGTCAGGGGTCAAGGGGTTGACCTTGACATCTCTGCAGTGTTTGATGGACCATATGCAGTGATGGGGATCAAACCCAGACCTTTTGGACCCTCCAACATGTGCTTCAGCCCACTGAGAGCTCTCTCTGGCCCAGAAATAAAATTTTGAATCTAAACATTGTGGTTATATCCATTGTGCAGTGTTCAGAATTGTCCAGGGGGATGCTCCCTGTTGGCCTTTTTTTGCTCCCCATGTCATGACCTTTCTCTAGAATCGATCCACTTAATGCTGACTGCAGGCATAGCTTCCTGTGCATATGGAGTGAATGGACACTGCTCAGGGAAGTTAGCCTTCTTTATGAGCTCAGGTCAGCCTGCCTGGCTACCCACGCCAAAGCCAGGTATTTTTTTCCCCACAGGAAGGCACTACTGCCTCTAAAGAGTGCAATATGATGTGCATGAAATATCTCAGAATTTTTGCTTAATTTCTGATATGTACATATTTGTTCTTCCTCTGAGATGGCAAGCATCCTGAACATCATGTCTTATTTTATCTTTGTAGCCAGCTTGCTGTTGTCTACAAAGAGGAACTCAATTGATGCATGATAAATGAATGAATGAATCCACATAGGCCTTTGTCATGCTATGTTTAATTAAATGCATGAATGTTTCTGAAGCCTCTCTAAATTTTCTCTGGATGCTCAGAATATTTGGGTACATTAATTCAATAATTTTGAAGCATCAAACTGAGCCAACTCTTGAGCTAGGTGCAATGGAGAAGGTTAAAATGAAGTGCAGTTGAAGCTACGCTTTCAACTTGATGGTGTTAGGTTGTCCAGCTGGAATATAGGGTAGAACCTGCCAAGTCTGGACCAGAGAGATAATACAGTGAGTAGGACAATTGCTAATACATGGCTATCCCAGGATCTATACCTGGAATGATATGGTCCCCTGAGCCCAGCCTGGAGTGATTTCTAAGTGCAGAGCCAGTTGTAAGCACTGAGCACAGACAACTGTCACTCTTAAGCCAAAAAATACAATGAAAAACCTGAAAGTACTGTAAGCATTTTTTAAAAGAAAATATTGAGGATTGGGTGGAGATCAGTTTCAGCTGGGATATTAATTCAGATTAAACTGGAGATATTAACCGAGAAGGTGGCATTTGAGTAAGCTTTGAACATTAGGGCTCTAGGGAGAAACACACTGCGCATGTGTTCAGATTAAGAAAGCCAAAAGCAGCAAAGGCTTCCATCTGACCAAAAAATGAAGCCGAAAAGTGACAGATGAAGTTGCATTCTGGAGGGTCTTCAATACTAGAATAAGTTTAGTCTTTCTTAAGTACATTCTCCCAACTCGATCTGTAAGGAACTGTGCAGGAGGGCCATGGCCAGGAAGGGACTGGGAGATGGTGGTCAGTAGCAAGGGAATCCAGTGCTTTATCCCCGAAAGGGCCAGTGAGGTCCAGCAGACTAACAGGGTAAAGTGGGAAAATGGGGGAAGGAGCAGAGCGAGTGTGGAGCAGAGCAGAGAGCAAGCAGAGATGATGTCCTAAGAGGACGTTGGAGAACAGCATCAAAGGAATAAAGGTTGGAGGGGTGGGGTGTGGGGATGGGAGTGACACCTGTGCAGTTACCACCAGGCTGCCAGGAGGGTTCATGGAAATGGAGCCAGGGCAGACTTGCATGGGGACGTGTTTCTTCCTTCCACTGTTGGCCGGAGAAGTCAGGGAGGGCTGGCCCAGAGGGATTATTCATTGGCACACCCTTTGTTTTGTCACTATTCCTTCTTGTCATTCCTTGGAACTGCCTTAAACTCAGCTTTTCAGTATTTAAAAATTTAACTCCTAAGGCTATTTCCAGCAAGTCACTACTTGAGGTGATGACAAATGTTGAGTTAATATCCTCATCTTAGCTAGGACAAAAGTTAATCCAAAAGGTGTTTATCTGAAATGATGGTCATTAATCCATCATGTATTTGACAGGGCTGGAGCGGGTAGGGCATTTGCCTTGAACACGGCCAACCCGGTCGACTTGAGTTCGATTCCTCCACCTTCGACTCCTCCGCCCCTCTTGGAGAGCCCCACAAGCTACTGAGAGTATCTTGCCTGCACAGCAAAGCTTGGCAAGCTACTCATGATGTATTTGATATTCCAAAAACAGTAACAACAAGTCTCACAATGTTACTGGGCCCGCTCCAGCAAATCGATGAACAACTGGAAGACAGTGATATTATTTGACAGGACTGGTGGTGGTTGGTACAGATATTACTATAGTTGTTTTCAAGCAAACTTTTTTTCATTTTGATATGTAAATACAAAATACTTAATGGAAATCAGACCCCTATAATGTTTTTAAAAAGTGTACCTATTGGGTATTTCTATTTAGGATAGCACTTTATAGCACTGTCCTCCCGTTGTTCATTGACTTGCTCGAGCGAACCCAGTAATAAAAAATTTTGTTTGTTGAATTGTAAGAATGAATTTAAGGCTCCACAGCCTTACTCTTGCCTTCGCCTTCTCTAGCCCCCAAATTGGGACACATGTAACCCAAGTGGCACATTACCAGCCCTAACAGAGCTGTCTGGCAGATGTGGTGACATCTGAACCTAGGGAGACGAATCAAGTGTATCTATTTACTCTCCCATTGGAGGGACCCTCATAGGGTGTAGACCACAGGCTTGTCTGTGCCCGAAGGGTCTTTCTACTAACAGCTCCTTGTCTTTGATTTATTCACACTTAAGTAGCCAGTGGGCTGACCTTGCTTCCTATGTCCTTCCAGTGTGTCAGGAGAGTTGTTTCCACTTGATCTAATCCATCATGACAACTTGTTTCACCACCAGATTCTGGCCTTCTTGCTACAGGGAGACAAACAGGAGCCCTCACTCTTCTTTCTCTGGTAGTGAGCAGGCACGCACGCACACACACCACACACACACACACACACACACACACACACACATACACACTTTAAAAAAATTTTTTAAAATCAAATCACTGTGAGATAGTTACAAAGCTTTCATGATTGAGTTTCATTTTCAGTCAGAGTGATCGAACACCCAACCCTGCACCATTCTTGCTTTCCCACCATCAATGTCCCTGAGTATCGCTCCTGCCACCCCCACTCACCCCACTCCACCCCACCCCTGCCTCTATGGCAGGCAGTTTCCTTCTTACTCTCTACTTTAGGGCATTATGGTTTACAGTACAGATAGTGAAAGGTCATCATTTTTTGTCCTTTGTCTACTTTGAGCATACATCTCACATCCTGAGCGATCCCTCCAGCCATCATTGACTTAGTGATCCCTTCTCTATCCTAACTGCCTTCTCCCTGAGCATTTGAGGCAGGCTTCCAACCATGGAGCAATCCTCCTGGCCCATGTCTCTACTGTCCTTGGGTATTAGTCTCATATTGCTATTTTATCTTCCACAAATGAGTGCAGTCATTCTTCATCTGTCCCTTTTTTTCTGACTTATTTCTATTAGCATGATACTCTCCATGTCCATCTACTTATAGGAAAATTTCATGACTTCATCTTTTCTAACACCTGCATATATTCCATTGTGTAGATGTACCTTTGTTTCATTAACCAGTTGTCTGTTCTAGGACACTCAGGTTGTTTCCAGATTCTGGCTATTGTGAATAGTGCTGCAATGAACATACAAGTGCAGATGTCATTTCTATTGTGTTTTTTTGCACCCCCAAGTTATATTCCCAGAAATGGTATTGCTGGGTCATATGGAAGGTCAATTTCTAATATTTTGAAGAATGCCCATATTGTTTTCCAAAAAGGTTGGACCAGTCAGCATTCCCACCCACCAACAATGAATGAGAGTTCCTTTCTCCCTGCTTCTGCACCAGCACAGGTTGTTCTTGTTCTTTTTGATGCGTACACACTTATCTTCTTAGAATTTATCCAGACACATTCACCGGAGACAGAACCCCCTTTGTGTTTTTCCTTTTGATTTTTTTCCCTGGGGAATCCTGAGAACTGATCTTCTGGGATGTACCTGGCATGAAGTCATAAGAAAGAATGAGAGATGGGTGTCTCTATAGTTCTGTCTTGAAAAACACTTTTCTGTTATTGACTATTTTCTGCTACCTTTTTCCTCAGCATATATATGATTATTGCCACAAATTTCACGACTTTTCACAAATTTATTGAGTAATAGAAGGTGATTTTGCGAAAAACGGATCTAGACTTTCCATTCGTCATCCAGTTCACCCCTTAGATAAAATCTCATCACGAAGAGTATAAATATGGATGAGGCTGTTATGCTTGTGCCAGTATGGCTGTAAGAGAAGGTTAATTATTACCAAACGTCCTTGCCTCCGTCTTTGCTGTCTGTACAGTTAGGTTAGAGGGGAAATTGGATCTAAATATTCATTTTGCTTTTGTTTTTTAGATTCAGAACATGAACAACATCATCTCCTTCCCGTTGGACAGTTTGCTGAAGGGGGACCTGAAAGGCGTGAAAGGGGTACGACACCAGGCCCTGCTCATCGAGGAGCTGAGGGGGTCGCCATCATGCTGCTGTCACGGCAGTCACCACGTCTCTGTCTGTCCCTGACTGGAATGGCTTTGACTGCCTCGGTTTCCTTTTGTTGGCCATCTCTGCCCTCTGTCTCAGCCCCAGTTGAGGGGCTCACAACCTCTCTTGGCATCCTGCTGGTACTCTAAATGTGGTGACAGGAGAAAGGCATGAGGGAAAAAAACAGCCCTTTTGGCAGCAGTGGGCACCATCAGTTGACGTTGGGAGACAAACCTGTATGGCAAAGTCTGGTTTTCCGGCTGGATTTGTCCCTGGGGTTTGGGCACAAATGCTGGAGTCATAAAGTTGCTTTGGTACAAATAGCTGCGTCCTACAAAGGGGAGATGATTGTGGGGGACCGGGGGGTGTCTCAGGAGAGCATTTCCTTTTGATTGACTCTGCACAAGGTCACGCCCTCCCACATCCTACAGCCCCGCTTGACAGGTGGGAATCCTCTTGGCGTCACCTTCACAGAGTGCGCCTGCCGGGGCGTGCTGTGCAAGAGAAGCGTGTCTGGTGCACCCTCAGGACACTGAGGATCTCTTCCCCAGAGAACAGGGTGGTGGAGTTAGAAAGACGGGAGACAAGAGCAGGCAGAGGGGAAGCGGCCAAGTGGAGAAATCCTGGCAATGCTACACATTGGACTTGGCATGTAGCTTGAGACCATGTAGGTATGTAGGAGTCTGCAGAGGTGCAAGAAAGAGAGGGGAGAGGGCCATGCTACATTCACTGGCCTTGTTACCAGACCAGTCAACGGTCAAACATGAAAAGGTAAGCTCCCAGGGCCAGAGAGATAGCTCAGCAGGGAATATGCTTGCCTTGCATGCAGCTGACTCTGATTCGATCCTCAGCACTCCATATAATCCCTCAGCACTGCCAGGAGTGATCCCTGAGTGCAGCACCAGGAGTCAGCCCTGAGCAATGCTGGCTGTGCACCCACCGCTCCAACATCCCCCTTGCCCCCCGCAAAAAAATGTAAATTTCCCCACACTGAAAGACTTATTCTTCCAGAATAACCCTGCTAACAGGATGGGGATCTTTGAAAGAATTAGTGATTCAGAACATATTGAAGCCAGATTCTATCAGCATGAGTCCTGAGTTTTTTAGATAAGAGAGGAATCAGAAGACCTCAGAAGGTGATTGGCTTCTAGTCTATTTTTGGTACCCAAATCAGGATTACATGTTTTTGGAGATTCATCTATTTTAGTAAAGCCAGAGCTTGTTATGACTTTCTAGGTTTAATTTCACAATCATCCCAGTGTAGGGTATAGGTGAACCAAGATGGGCCTTGAGTTGTCTTATTGTAATTGTCATTTCAGTATGCATTTGTTATATTCTGTAATACTTTTTTTCATTTACTGAAAAAGGAAATTCCATTACTAGCCTAATTAAAAACTCTAAATTCTCTCCCCCCGTCCCGTCATGGGATCACACGCTTCGTTTATTACAGAAATTTATGCTGCTTTCAGTACTGGTCTGGGGTTAAGTCAGTTTTTCTTGCCCAGAAGTTAATGATTAGTCGTGTTTAATTCATGCTTCTCTGTTTACAGGATCTGAAAAAACCTTTTGATAAAGCTTGGAAGGACTATGAAACAAAAATGTGAGTGTTTTCATTTTTAAAAATAGGCGTAGGTAATTTGGGGTTCCATTTTTAAATAGAGTTTTTATTGCTTTGAAGGTGTTGTCTAAATAAACTCTAATCCAGGAAAGAATTTACCTAACACCGTACTGCTGTTGTTTGTTATGGTGCCAGGTGTGTTCATATTTGGAGCCTAAATTTGATGGTGTTGACTGTTTAAACAAGTTTTCTCTCATCCCTTTCACTTATGTCATACCAGTGATATAGGCTTTTACCTTCAGGAAAGTTAATTAAGAAAAACGTAGAACCAATTTCTCTTTTCTAGTTCCATCCTGCCCATCCCATTTTATCACGTTCGTGACATTATAGTTTTCCAACTCCATCCTTCTTCTGGTGATCTGTGAAAGCTTTCTGCTTCTTTCTTCTTCCCCAATCCTTTGATTTTTTAGAAAGAGAAAAGAGAGACTGTTGGGATCCTCCTTCTCTTTGGCTTTATTGGGTGGTTTCACTTGCCAGGAGATCAGACAGCTGTTTGGTGGGTCTCTGTGCTCCCAAGCCCTTGCTGGGAACAGGCGCTGCCACCCCCTGGCCTTTGTAACATTTCCAGTCACACTTCCTCCTTCCTAGAGTGGTGAGGACTGAGCTAGCTGGTGCCGAGCTTGAAATACTTGAGATAATGGTTTTGATTATTTTAGGTACTTGAAAAGTAGAAAGCATGTTTAAGTGCCTTGTTCTGATTTTTGTTTTGGTGTGGTTTTTGGGCCACACCTGGTGGTGTTCAGGGCTTATTCCTGGCTCCGAGGTCAGGGATCACGCCTGTTGAGCTCAGGGTACCACATGCGGTGCTGAGGATCAAACCCAGGTCAGCTGCTTGCAAGGCAAACACCCTGCCATCCGCTGTACCATCATGCCGGATCCCTGGTGTTTGTTTTTGAATAGCTCTATCTGAAGTAATAAAAGATTTCTGAGTGAAAATAGAAACTTTAATATGAAGTCATCTGGTAAAGAGAGAAGTACTAAGGAAAAAGTCCATCTCGGGCTGGAGCGATATCACAGCGGTAGGGCGTTCGCCTTACAAGCGGCCAACATGGCCGACCCGAGTTCGATTCCTCCGCCCCTCTCGGAGAGCCCGGCAAGCTACCGAGAGTATTCGATATGCCAGACACAGTAACAACAAAGTCTCCAATGGAGACGTTACTGGGCCCGCTCGAGCAAAATCGACGATCAACGGGAGGGCCTTTACCTTTACCCTTACCTAAAAGTAACTGCAAGCATTTTGTTGGCTTTTTTCTTTGTTTATTGTGCCCCAGGGATAAGGCATCCAGGGCCCTGCACATTCAAGATCTCTACTGTACCGCAGGCCTGGCCTCAGCTTTTTGGTTTTTGGTTTGTTTTTAACTCACCTCAGCTGTCTGTTCAATGGTGGAGTAAATTTACTATAGGATACTGGGATCAGATCGATGGCTTAAAAGACTAGACAGATCGAGTGCAACACTCCCAGTTTAACTCCCAGCACTGCTGGGCGTGGCTCTGGTGGGCATCCAACCATCAAGTCTGGTTAGCTACAGCGGTAGGGCTTTTGCCTTGCACACAGCCAGCCCGACCGAGCTGGGTTCGATTGCTCTGCCCCTCTCGGAGAGCCCAGCAAGCTACCGAGAGTATCTCGCCCGCACGGCAAAGCCTGGCAAGCTATCCGTGACGTATTCAATATGCCAAACACAGTAACAATAAGTCTCAAAATGGAAACGTTACTGGGCCTGCGTGAGCAAATCGATGAACAAAGGGAAGACACTTGGGGTAGTATTCAGGTCCCCATGAGCGTTGCTTGTTAGTATCTCCCCTGCTTCCCCCATTAAAAAAAACAAAAGCTAAAAGACACCCATCATCTAGGATTCTATCCTGGAAGTCTTATATTTCCATCTCAAAAGTTGCTAGGATCTCTGAATGCTAAGCTTTTGCCTTTGGCATACGCAATGGAGAAGCCTAGAGAGAGGCTTAAACAAGAACCCTTGAAGGACCACTCTACCCTGAGAGGCCCTAATGAGCTCTCCCCAACCCTTTGGCATCTGCCTATTGTGTAGCAGCTCAGCACAATCAGTGGCGAAGGATCCTCGCCTCTCCTGAACTCGCTGGCTTGCTGCGGGCTGCAGGCAGAGAGCCAGTGCTAGGCCCAGGAGAGGGATTTGCTGGCTCTCACCACCCACTAAGTTCCTAGAGGAAGCTGTGAACCCGTTGCCTGACATTTTAAAAAGGTTTGAAGGGGAAGTGAGATCAAGTTCTGCAAAATCAACATACAAATGATTTGAGTGGGGACAGAATTGCTTACAAAATCCCAGTGTTTGAGAAGGAGGGAATAGCAACCTTTTAAACTTGAAGTCATTCTCGGGGAAATACAGGAAGTTGCTATTTACCCATTAACATGTGAGACTGATTTATTCCAAGATGCCTTTGATAAGTAACAAATAGCCGTAAGTTGTCCGTTAGGTTCCCAGACAGTCGTTTATACCTGATTTTAGGGGAATGGAAGACCTGTGGGCTGTGACTTGATCCCTTGGAGATGGTCAGATGGAGCATTGGAGCTATATAGTAGTTGTCCCAGGGAACTGATGGTTCTTCTGGTCACACTCTGATGCATATATTTATTTGACAACCTCTCCACCAAATGCCCATCTTTTATTTTTATTCTTATTCAAATAGCTGAGAACCCAATGCAGTGCATGGAGATTAAAAAAAAAGAATTAAAAAACTATATATCTTCTGTAGCCCTGTAGCACTGTCATCCTGTTGTTCATCAGTTTGCTTGAGCGGGCACCAGCATCGTCTCCATTGTGAGACTTGTTACTGTTTTTGGCATATCCAATATACCACAGGGAGATTGCCAGGCTCTGCCATGTGGGATGTCTTGTTAAATTCATTCTTTCTGAGGCCAGAGAGATAGTACAGCAGGTAAGGCATTTGCTTTGCATGTGTCCGATCGAGTTTCGATCCTCTGCATCCCATATGGTTCTCCGAGCACTGTCAGAGGTGATTCTTGAGTGTAGAGCTGAGAGTAAGCCCTGGGCATCACTGGTGTGGTTCCTATCCTAAATCCCCCCCACTCCCCGCCCCAGTTCTTTCCATGTGATGGGAAATTCTTATATTCAGAGTAACTCAATATCTTTGTTGAATGTACTGCTTTATATCCTTGAGCAAGGCTTGAGGCTCTGCAAAATGTCTAGTCCCTTCATAGCAGTTCTTGAAATTTCTTGAGTGTTTTCCGTGGTTTTTGTTGAAATCTCTTTTTCTCTGGAATAAAAAATCAGTTATTTCAATCCCTTCATAAAATGAAGGGGTGGCCTCATGGGTGGGCGTGCCTCCTCGGAGCCTTTCCACCCTGCATTGTTCATTCAGCACGTGGAACAGGGCTTCTCAGCCCTCATCACACTTGTGGGTCTGTACCAGTCCATGGTCTGGAGTTGAAAAGCGCTGACGAGGAACATGAGATAAATGTGGAAGGGAGAATGAAGCCCCCAAGCTTAAAGAGGGGCCAGTTGGCTTCTGCAGTGGTGAGCACTGTCTGCTCAAGTCTGCGGTCTGTCATGACTGCCCCAAGTGGCCGGTGCAGTGGTTGGGGGGGTTCCTGGAGAAAAGGCCACAGAGTACTAGCAGGCCGCAACGCTATTTCCCACACACAGCCCCTCTGTGGGCTGACGGAAGCCCCCAGGCGCTCTGCCTCCTCCCGCTAGGCCTGTTAGAGTAGGTGCTTAGGAGGGACCTGCTGGTTCTCTACTCAACGGAAGGAAAAGATAAAAGCCTTTCCAGCAAGTTAGGAACACAAGGCCTGGCCCCATGAGCCTCTGCCTTGGGGGGGGGGGGGGGGGGGGGGGTCTCAGCTTCGCTTCCAGGCTCTCCAGCTCCATGCCAAGTGGTAGCCTGATTGATCCTTGCTCTGTTTACCTGTAGAACCAAAATAGAAAAGGAGAAAAAGGAACATGCCAAGCTCCACGGGATGATTCGCACCGAAATAAGTGGGGCGGAAATAGCTGAAGAGATGGAGAAGGAGCGGCGGTTCTTCCAGCTCCAGATGTGCGAGGTAAGAGGGTCTGAGACAGAGGGTTCTGGGTCCTGGGCTTAAGGAGGCTACCTGTACCCGCTGTGACCAGCTGCAGAGTGCCTGCCCATCCGGGAACAGTGTCCCTCTCGACCTGCAGCTTTGGGAAAACTCCATTTGTCCAATTCCTATTGTTAGGGCAGCTTCAGTCACTCAGAATGTGGGATTAGATTAACCCCAAATTTTTGTTAAAAGTGGGGGAAATAAAACAAAGACTGTCCTCCCTGGCCTCTCATAAATCCTCAACACGTGTGCTCTCTGCTTCCATGTGTCTTTGATCAGATGGTGTTTACTGTAGACAACTCAGAGTGGGATTGTATTATTTTATCCAGGTGGCAGTCTCTGCCTTCTGATGGAATTATTTAATCCATTCCCGTTTGCTGTTACTATTGCTATGGTTGGATTGAAGTTTGCTGTTCTGCTTTTGTTTTCTATGTCTTTTTTTGCCCTATATGCCTCTTTTGTTGCTTTCTTTTTCACTGAATTTGTCTCTTAGACTTTTTTCAAAAGAAAGTTGTTATTTAGAAAAATTAAAGAAGCTCAAAATATTACTGTAGATGGGGGGTGGGGTGAGGGGAGAGATTAAAGGACAGGGTGCTACTGTATGTGTATACATGTTTGGTTTTATTATTTTTTTTCTTTTTTTGGGTCTCATCCAATGATGCTCAGGAATTACTTCTGACTCTGCACTCAAGAGTGCTCAGGGGACCATATGGGATGCTGGGGATCGTACCCAGGTCAGCCACGTGCAAGGCAAACGTCCTACCTGCTGTAATATTGCTCCAGCCCCAAGAGCATGTGTTTTATATATATCCATGTTGTTTTTATAATCCAGCATCTTATGTACCAGTACCTGCCTGGCCTCTTTCAGGCAGTATTGGGGAAGCAAGAGCTAGGAAACTGCTGCCCGGTACACATACATTGGGCATTGTTTCCATACTGGTAGTGGTCTTAAAGAATGAAGTTAGGAAGAATCTGTATATGTGTCCTTGGATTGCACTGTCTTTGGAGATGGTTAGGAGGAAATCTGTCCACCAAGCTCTTCACGACTGATTGTTTGAATTGTTGTGAACTCAGATTTGGTCCATATATTATTAGCATATCCCAGAAGTGAGAGGTACCCATTTCACATGCTCTGGCATTGCCTTTCAGTTGCATCACCTGCTGCTCTAGCTTTCTCTCTGGACTTAGACAAATGAATTGTGTGCACTGGTTAAGTGGCTTAATAGAAATGTGCTCTTGGGCCGATGCCTCTAACTCAGACTCTTAAGCCCTCTTTTGAGCCAGTCGCTAGGTGGTTGTGGGACCCTGTGTGTGCTGAGGTAACAGACCCCCTACCTCTGCAGCTAGCAGTGACTAGAGTCAGCCTTTCAGTGCATAGGCAAAAGCATGGTGGGCCTCACAGCCCTCCCTAAAGCCTAAAGCACAGAGGTGAGGGATGTCTGATGAAGGGCACAGACGGAGGAATAAAAGAACTTGCCCTGGGGAAGGAAGAGCATTTGCAGGGAGGTTTCCTGAAAAATCAGTCTATTACCTGAAAGTCCTTCTAAATTATTGAACTCTCTCCACAATTTGCCATTTCCAAGCTTATAGCACAGCGGTAGGGCGTTTGCCTTGCACGCGGCCAGTATGGCCGACCCGACTTCGATTCCTCCGCCCCTCTCGGAGAGCCCGGCAAGCTACCGAGAGTATCTCGCCAGCACGGCAAAGCCTGGCAAGCTACCTGTGATGTGTTCGATATGCCAAATACAGTAACAACAAGTCTCACGATGGAGATGTTACTGGGCCCGCTCGAGCAAATCGATGAACAATGGGAAGACTATGACCGTGACCATGACCCTAAAAACTTAAACACTGAGCTATTTCAAACTTTAGTTGCCCAGCATCTAAGCTAGGCAAATAGCTTTCAGACTTCATTTTAAAGCTGTGGAACTCTATCTTTCAAATGAATTTTAGACAGAAATTTGTATTACCAAGTGGGTGATGCAGAGCCACGCCACTGTGAATGGAGAAGATATGAGAGATCCTATCATGCTAATTTTATTATAAGATGAAATTTATTTTTCAATATGTTTAATATAAGAATGTGTATGAAATTAAAGATTGTCCCAAATCTTATGTAGCAAAAATAGCCCATTTGACCCTTAGCTAAAAATTGCTCCTACTCTTCTGTGTATATTCATAAAAATCATTCACAGAAATAGAATCAACCTCTGTGATGCCTTGTGACCTGATTTTTTTCATGCACTAGTGTGTCAGAGGCATCTTCCCATGTCAAGAAGACATTATTAGCGTAATGGCTCCACAGTACTTTCCTCATGATGTGTCCAACTACTGCTTCATGTTCATTACATTTGGCCTGTTGCCATTTTTCAATTTTCCAAGGAAAACTGCAAGACCTTTTCTTTCTCATTCATCTTTGTAAACTGTTGTGATTATCTAGCTTATGTTCCTATAAGTAGAATTTTTAGGTTAGAGATACGCATTTTAAAGCTTGACATGTTGCCAAGTATCTTATTAACCATATACTCCTCTTGATACATTGCCAAACAACTTACTCAGTTAATAACTAATGATAAAGAAATATCAAAAAGGAGGATACCAAAGGCTAAAAGAGCCCTTGCTTTATAAAACTTTTATCAAAAACAAAGATATTTATTGATGCTGAGCGAAAATAGGTCTCTTGGGATTTGTGATGTGTTGTTAATGGTTGTTAATGAATTCTCCAAGTTAAAAATGGTTTCAATTTAAATTTTGCTTTTGAATGTAGGGGGAACTTTTTAGGATTGGTGGTAGAGTAACAAGAGCCTCAGCTTACAAAAAAAAATTAGCGGTATTTTTGTGTTCTCAATAATTACCTGCCTAAAAAATGTAGTTGAAATGACATCTGCACTTCTATGTTCATTGCTTCACTGTTCACAGTAGTCAAAATCTGGAAAAAACCCGAGTGCCCAAGAACAGATGACTGGTACATCTACACAATCGAGTACTATGCAGCTGTTAGAAAAGATGAAGTCATGAAATTTACATACAAGTGGTACTACATGGAAAGTATCATGCTAAGTGAAATGAGTCAGAAAGAGAGGGACAGACATAGGAAGACTGTATTCATCTGTGGAATATAAAGTAACAAATAGGAGACTAACACCCAAGAATAGTCAAGATAAGTGCCAGGAGGTTCAACTCCATGGCTTGGAGTCCAGGCGCACATGTTGGGGGAAAGGGCAGCTCAGATAGAGAAGGGAACACCAAGTAAAGGGTGTTGGGAAGATCCTCCCAGGATGGGAGATGCATGCTGAAAGTGGACTATAGACCGAACTGAGTGCCACTCAATGCCTCTTTTGCAAACCATAGCACCCAAAAGGAGAGAGAGAACAAAAGGGAATGTCCTGCCACAGAGGTGGGGTGGGGTAGGGGAGATGAGGAGGTGGAAGGGATACTGGGACCATTGGTGGTGGAGAATGGGCACTGGTGGAGGGATGGGTACTCGATCATTGTATAACTGAAACCCAAGCACAAAGATTTGTAAGTCTACAACTGTACCTCATGGTGTTTCACTAATAAAAATTTTTAAAAATTTAAAAAAATAAAATTATATGCAAAAATAATAATTACCTGCCTAGTGAAAGAAACTTTAGTCAGAAGTAAGCTACTGAGAATGGTCAAGATGGTTGTCATGCTTTTCTTTCTCACGACAGTCTCTCATGCACTGGAGTGAATCTCCTCGTACATTAAAAGACTGTTTGATTATTGGTTCTTAAATATTTAATTGCTTGTGTTTCCAGTAATTAATATAGCATTAAACTAAAGCATTCAGAAAGTATGAAGCATCTCCCAAGAGCTCTATCCCCAATAAAGAAGGTTAACGAAGCAGAAGACTGGACAGATTGTCCAATGGGCTGAGCACATGTTTGTCATGGGGGAGGCCCAGGTTTAAATCCCTAGCCCCACATGGTTTCCTGAGCACTGCCAAGAGTAGCCCTGAGCACCCTTGAGTGTGTCACAAAGCTAGGTATAAGAGATGGTTATCTCTGTTCTCAGAGGCTGATATTAAATTGATATTCTGTTCATATCTATGACACTTCCTTTTTTGTTTGTTTTTGAACAGTATCTGCTGAAAGTCAATGAAATAAAGATTAAAAAGGGAGTGGATTTACTTCAGAATCTGATCAAATATTTTCATGCTCAGTGCAAGTAAGTTGTTTTTCTTTGTTAAGATATTATTTCAAATGATTCTTTATGACAACTTCTGGTGGCTATTGATTATTGACATTTATTGAAGAAAATAAGCAATCTCCTGAAAATTGCTCGTAGCACTTGAGGATAGGACAGTGGTTAGGGCACTTGCCTTGCATGTGGCTGACTCCAGGTTAGATCCCCAGCACCTTATATAGTTCCTTGAGCACAGAACCAGGAGTAAGCCCTCCCAGGTGTGACCCCAACACGATAACATCCAAAACATTGAGAGTAAGCGGAATGCAATCTACTACGTGCTTTATTATAGATGAACCTTGGAAACATGCTAAAAGAGAAAAATCTAGAGACAAAAGGCTACACTGCTCTGATTCGAAAGGTAAGGAATTGGCAAGTCCAGAGCTGGAAAACAGGTGAATAATTGTTTGGGCTCAGGAAAGGAATGGAAGACGAGTGCTAATGGTGCAGGGTTTCTTCTTGAGGTCATGAAAATGTCCGGCACCTGATGAATGTACAACTTTTGAAGATACTAAAAACCACTGAATTACAGTTTCACAGAGTGAATTTTTTACCAGAGAGATGGCTTAAATGGTGGAGCTCTGAATTCCATCTCTGACAGTGCAGTGACCACCACCTCCATGGTGTGGAGCCCTGCTGACCTGAGCATCATACTCTAATCAAACCGGCTGAGCATCGACACAGTCCCTCTTTAAAAAAAAAAAAAAAACATGAGTTTTGCAATTTCAGAATTATAGCACTGCACTGTAGCACTGTCCTCCTGTTGTTCATCGATTTGCTCAAGTGGGCACCAGTAACGTCTCTGTTGTGAGACTTGTTACTGTTTTTGGCATATCAAATACGCCATGGGGAGCTTGCCAGGCTCTGCGGAGAATTATATTGAGAATTATATCTCAAATTTTTAAAACTGAGATAAGAATCGGCAGTAATTTTCAGCTACGTTTATTTTTGTTCTTTTTTTTTTTGTATAGGGGAAAACTTAAATTTTTTTATATATCGGTGGTTTATAGTACTATATAAAATTTTATGTCACATCTATAGACTTTGAAGACTTGCTGTCACTACACCCAACCAAAGTTGTCATCTCACTGTCAGAAAGAGAGGCCAACTGGGGCAGAGTAATAGATAGTACCATAGGGAGATTGTTTTCCGTGTATACAGCTGACCCAGGATTGATCCTCAACACTCCATGTTGTCCCCAAGCTCACCATGAGTGATTTCTGAGCTCAGAGCCAGCAGTAAGCTCAGACCACTGCTGAGTATAACTCCAAAACCAAAAAAGGAAAAAAAAAATTAAGGGTGGAGGGGGCAACTTTTTGTTTGTTTGGGTCCTGCACCCAGCAGTGCTAATGCTAAGTGACTCCTTCTGACTCAGTGCAGAGATTGCTCCTGGTGGTGTTCTGGGTACTGTGCAGTGCCAGGGCTCGAACCTGGAGCTCCCACATACAAAGCATAAGCTCCAGCCCTTTGAGCTGTCTTCCTGGCCCTAGAAGTACAGGTTTTGATCTAATGTGACTTCTCAGATGTTTTTGTTGTCATTGTTTGTTCAGACAGAAACGAGATGGTACTTATGTGGTATATTAAATTAAAACATGTTGCGTATCATTTATCCTATGAAGCAGATGAGAGGGATGAGCAGAAAAGACTGAGTGGAGGGAGAAGTTTCTTCAGTCATCGCCTCCAATCCTCCACTGTGCCAGACACATTCTTAGCCCTTCACAGTGAGCCCCTCAGACCCCAGCCTCAGGGTCTTCCCTTCTCTATATCTTATCTCTGCTTCCAAGTTCTTAAGACAGGAAAAAAACATCATTGTGGGAACTGGAGAGTTAGTACAGCAGATAAGGCACTTGCCTTGCATGCATTTGACACAGGTTTGATCTCTGGCATCCCATATGGTTCCCTGTACCCCATCAGAAGTGATCCCTCAACACAGTGCCAGGTATAAGCCATGAGCACTGCCAGTTGTTGCCCCCAACATTTGTGTTAAAAAGCTCCTAAGGGCCGGAGTGATAGTACAGTGTGTAAGGTGTTTGTGTTGCATGCAGCCAACCTGGTTTTGATCCCCGGCATCCTATATGGTCTCCCAGCACTGCCAGGAGTGATTCTTTTTTTTTTTTTCCCCCTTTGGGCTGGAGCAATAGCACAGCGGTAGGGCATTCGCCTTACAAGCAGCCAACATGGCCGACCCAAGTTCGATTCCTCCGCCCCTCTCGGAGAGCCCGGCAAGCTACCGAGAGTATTCGATATGCCAGACACAGTAACAACAAAGTCTCCAATGGAGACGTTACTGGGCCCGCTCGAGCAAATCGACGATCAACGGGAGGGCCTTTACCTTTACCTTTACCCCCTTTATTTTATTTTATTTTACAGTTGTAAATTTACAATTTTTTGTGCTTTGGTTTCAATTATACAATGATCAGATACCCATCCCTCCACCAGTGCCCATTTTCCACCACCATGGATAATATCCCTCCCACCCCCATCCCCCCATCCCCCCTGTCTCTGTGGCAGGGCAATCCCCTGTGTTCTCTCTCCAGGAGTGATTCTTGAGTGCAGAGTCAGGAGTAACCCCTGAGCATCGCTGGGTGTGACCCAAAAAGCGAAAAAAAAAAAAAAGCTCTTGGAACTTTCTTTTTTTATTATTACTTTTTGGGTCACATCCGGCGATGCACAGGGGTTACTCCTGACTCTGCACTCAGGAATTACTCCTGAGGGTGCTCAGGGGACCATATGGGATGCTGGGAATCGAACCTGGGTTGGCCGCATGCAAGGCAAACACCCTACCCACTGTGCTATCACTTCAGCCCCCTCTTAATTTAAGAGAAGGACTCATTGAGCAGTATTTATTGAGCTCCCACTCTGTGCTGTGCACTCTTTAAGGTTCGGTTGCAACAGAAAACCAAGGTCCCTAGACACATCAGCCTGTGAGAAACAGCACAGTCATAGGGATGCAAGCCTGGCCATGGAAATGGAAAAGTGTGTGAGAAATGGTCACTCTGCGAATTACGGGAAAGTTCTTATTTGGAACCTGGTTGATGATGTTGGTCACTGGTTCCTGTTTGGTGTGGCAAACTCCTGTCCAGGGAGGGGCCAGGTGCACAGAGAGAGTGTGGAGCCACGTAGGAATCTGTAGCCTTTGAACTGCCACAGGAATTTGCTTTCTCCGGACAGGCATATCAACACAGGTTGAGAGATCTGTGAAACGTTGTTCCCTTTGCTTAGAGTTTGTTCTGTTTCCCCATGCCTTTCCCAGCTGTGTTTACTCCTAAAATCTGACTCTGCTGTGACCACTGCTTTGAAGCTGCTCTGGTCTTTCTGTGAAACGTTACTCTTCCTGGGTCACCTCTGTTCCTGCTACATCTCCCACTCTACTCTTCAGTCTCCATGGAAAGAGACCAGGACAATTATTCTGTCTGTGATGGTCTGGCACGTACATGCAATTAAATTGAACTGAACCCTGCTTTGGAATATTTTTTCTTGGTTTTGGGGGTCACACCTGGTGGTGATCAGGGCACCATAGAAGTTCTGGGGATCTAACCCAGCCCTTTCTTCTACAAAGCATGCGCTGAGGGCCTTTGACCTATTTTCCCGGTCCTACTTTGGAATTATTAGTGTAATTTCAGTGACATTGCATTTCTGAATCAGCTGAGATCAAAAAGCAAAGAAAGATGCCCTGAGCAATTGATCTGAGGTTAAAAGCAAAGTCACCTGAGTTAGAAAAACAGTCACGTTTGTATGGGGGAAAGACTCTATAATTTGTAGCATTTCCAAGATGAACTATTTTTAAGAGACACAAAATCCTGACTCTGTGATTCACATTCAAATTACTTCTTTAGTTCTTTCCCTGTGAACCTTATGTGAAGCAGTTTAGGAAGTGGGTCGCTTCCCTGCTGATATTTTTTAAGAAGAAGCTATTCTGGGATTTCCTTTTTTTCTTTATTTTCCCAAACCGATCAGTTGGGTAGCAACAGACCACTGTAGAAAAGTGAATTCATTGGCCTTTTATGGGCATGAGCTCAGTAACCTTTTAAAATGATGGATCTCCCATCGCTTCCTTTCCGGATGGGTACATGTGTATGTAAGTGGGTGTGTGCACACTTACCGTATGTTTGTCACATCATTTAAACAGCTTTAACTTTCTTTAAGTTATCATTTTGGTTAAACTGCTACTCAGTCAGAAGAACTTGTGTGTGTTTATTTTCTGATCGTTTCTTGGCATTTTCCCTTTCACATTCCTGGTCTCCATTACGCACACGGAAGCAGGATCTGGGCACCTCTGTGGGCAAAAGAGACAGCTTAGCGCACGCTCTTACTCCTGCCTTGCCTGGTCTCTGCAGAGGTCTGAAAAGACCTCATCCTGTACATGAGATTCTGGGGAACATGTACTTAAAGTCACATTGTCTGAGTATTGAAGAATATTTCATTTTTTTTTCTTTTACTTCATTTAAAGAAATGTGCATCTATCATTTCTGCCTTGTTACTGCTATATTCTGGAAAGATGTCTTGTTCGGGATTCCCTAGTGGGATGTAGAAACAGGACAGTCTTTAAACACTAATGGGTCAAAAATGGTCCATGTCCTAGACAGTGGTCATGAGTGTTGAGTTGACTTGACCTTCCGAGAGCTACTGTGACAAGCTGTTGCTTGGTGCCCTTGGGATCTGGAGCTCACTGACACTGTAGTTCCAGGCCCCCAGAAGAAGCCTGTTCTGGGGTCAGGATGGGCATCAAGAGCACTCATCATCAACATGAAGCCCTGCTTGCAGCCGTGAGGGCCATGGTGGAGAAGAGAACAGCCTTCAGTGTGGTAGCTTGAGGATTGAGTGCGGGGGATTATATTTGAAAGGTTTGGGGATTTGGTCAAATGGGCATTGATTTTAAAAAAGTTCATAGAGCTAGACAGATAATACAGCAGGTAGGGCACTCGCCTTCCATGCAGCCGACCCATGTTTGATCCCTGGCATCTCACCTGATCCCCTGAGCACTGCCAGGAGTAATTCCTCAGTGCAAAGCCAGGAGTAACCATCTGAGTAATGGGCACGTGACCTGAAACTCCCCCAAAAAAGATTCATTTGGGTAGTTGGTGATGTTGATGGTGAATCTTGTTGGAAGCATGGGATGGTATTAGTGGATTCAGCCTGAGTGTCCAGGGTTTGTGTTCAGGAATGTCCACAGGTGAGGGCAGTCAGTGAAGCCAGGACCGGGCCTGCTCTTCGACGCTTTCCCTGAGGCCTGATTTCCCTTGAGTGCTGATTTTGTTCTGGAAGTGTCGAACATGCATCAACAGAAGGGGTACAGATGATGGGGAGATTTTGAGAACCATGAGATTTTGAGGTAGTTAACCCAGATTGGTGAGGTGGTTACAAAGATGAAATCCAAACCTTCCACCCACACTGTACCATTATTCCAAGTGCACTGTTGCACTGGCAGTGTGACCCCTGAAACTCCTTTTGCTTGTCTTGCTCAATCAATCCCTTCCTCCCTGTGCAGTTGCCCAGCAGAGATTCTCTTTTGGCAGGAGCACAAGCGTTTCTGCATCGATCTTGTAGTTTTTTTTCCTCTTCCCTGCGCTAGTGTCGTTAGTGTGTTATGGCTGTCTCTGCCACTCCCTGCGCCTCCATCTCTCTCCTCTCTATCATGTCGCATTTGTTTCACTTAGGAAACAATTGAAGAGGTAGTTACAGAAAGAATAAATGCAACTGAAAGAAAACATAAAGATCGGATGGATTTGTGACAGGAGGGAAGAGCTCAGCTTCTCATTCCTGCAGCTGTTCTTCTCGACTCCCTTTCATTTAAAAACCAGGGCTTGCCGTGCTCTGGCTTTTGTGCTTGGGAGAAAGGCGCAGGGAGAGAGAGAGAGAGAGAGAGAGAGAGAGAGAGAGAAAGCTATTTAACCTTTACCGTAGAAGCATTTAGTTGGAAAAATCATGATGACAATCTGACACAATTGCTATACCAGAAATGTCGTCTACACTCATGAAAGAAAATGGGTAAAATATAGAAATCAGCATGAAATGAATTACACATATATAAAGATAAAGGTAAGGTGAGGCCCAGAGCCTGGCCACCATGCTTGTTCCTAGCTAGTAACGGTACAGAAACCGCATCCTGTGTGTATGTTTTCCCCTTCCTTCCTCCTTGGAATTGTTGTATTAAGGCCCATACAGCATTGTTTGAACACCCTCTCCTGTTTATTCCATGTTTGACATGGGAAAGTCCCCAGGGACTGTTGGGCCAATTTAAACGCAGGATCACCTTACATGGATACATGAGACGCTCTTAGCATTTTTTTGTTGCTCTTGGTTTTGGAACACACCTGGAGATGCTCTTGGGCTGGCTACTCCCAGCTCTGTGCTCAGGGATCACCCTGGGTGGTGCTCAGGCCAGGTAGTGCTAGGAAGCAAACCACAGCCTCGATAAGCCTTTTGAGTTATCTCTCTAGCTCCTGAGTCACTCTGTGAAGAGTCTCAGTGCCATTAACTAGCAGGAGTTGGATGTCCTTCCTTCCTTCCTTCCTTCCTTCCTTCCTTCCTTCCTTCCTTCCTTCCTTCCTTCCTAATTCGCTTCCTCATTCAACAAACACTTTGTGCTTCTCATGTTGCCAGGTTTTGTGTGGATCATGTGCTTACTCTTCTAGATCTACAGATCTAATGATGTAATTATATCCACTAATGAATGCATAATAGCAGTTGTGGTGTTTTGAAGCAGAGATAGAATCTACTGAGAAAGCATAGCAAGGAAACCTCTTTTAGAATTGAGGAACATGGAAGCTCTCACTAATTAGGGTGACGATTAACTTAAAACTTGAAAAATGAATGAGCTTCAGATGAGCGAAACCAAAGATAGGCCACATGGAGAACTCCACAGAGGGAGGAAGCTACCTGGCCCAGAGCCAAGATAGGAAGGATTTGGTGACCTTCAAGGCAGGGGAGGCCAGTATTGTGGAACCTCGTGAATGAAAGGGCCATGTGGTGTTGGTTAATGTGGGGAAACATAGGGAAGGGCAAAATCATAAAGGCATAGGAGTCTTGGTCACAGGTTTTGAACTTTATCCTAAGCTCATTGGGAAACCTTATCTTCAGTTTTCTCCAAACGGTTGTACACACATGTTTCAGAGGCAGAGTTGAACATTGGCGCACAGACGCTTCAAAGAAACTTGTCTAGCTCCCTGAATCTCTTGGAGTTTGGGGTTCTTTTAAATTGTTGCTTTGTTGTGGGATCATACCCAGCGATGTTCAGAGGTTACTCTTTGCTCTACACTCAGAAATCACTTCTGGTAGTGATTTCTACCAGAAAACCATATGGGATTCCAGGAATCGTACCTGGGTCAGCCGTGTGCAGGGCAAATGCCCCACCCACTGTTCTATAGCTCCAGCCCAACTGTCTTGTTATAAATGACTTTATATATATTGAGTTCTGAGCTTAAAAGAGGTGGTTCCTTTTGATACCGGATCTCAAGTTCTCCACCCACTGCCCCTACTCTCCCAAGGGAGTATGGCCATTCACGTGCATCAAGCTAATTAACTTTTTCTTGCATTCTTTTTTGTTTCTACTTAGCTATCCTCTGTCAAGGGAAATTTGTGTCTTTTTGTTTTTCTATGCTTCATGCTTTTTTGACCCTAAGTTCTTATACTCCTGAACCAAAGTCTCTCATCATTTTTCAGTAGAGCCCAGTTTCCCTAAATAAGCTACAACAACTTAAGACAAATTACTAATTCAAAGGCTTATTGCATTTCCTTTTCTAGTCACTTGCTATAGTTTTGAGTATCATTCTATTCCTGGTTGGCCTAATATTTTAAGGTTCAGTTCAACCAATATTTTCTCCCAGAAATTGCGAAATGATTCATTTAATTACATAAAAGAAGTTTTATATTCCAGGTAGCAGAAATATTTTTCTCTTTTGTGAAGTGCAATGTGATAATGCTGCTTTGCTCTCCTAGTTTTTTCCAGGATGGTCTGAAAGCAGTTGAAAGCCTCAAGCCTTCCATTGAAACTCTTTCAACGGATCTTCACACAGTAAGTCATTTCCTCTCGCGTGCATATTGAAATGGCTTTCGTGCAATAAACACTCCCATTGGACTGCTTTTCTGTGTGCTGTGCCCCTCGGAATCAGTGGCCTGGTTTCTCTCATTGCCCCCGCCCCCTCTCTCTCTCGTCCCCTCCCTGCCATACTTTTATACCCTAAGAGTCTCAATTATAGGGAGCAGTTGTATGATAGAGGAGGAAAACCTGACTTTCTTTTGTCTTTAAAGATCAAACAGGCCCAGGATGAAGAAAGAAGGCAGCTGATACAGCTTCGAGATATTCTGAAATCAGCATTGCAGGTTGAACAGAAAGAGGTGAGAGGATTTAATTTAGAAAGAGTGCTACGAGTTTGGGGACCTGGGAACATGAAATCCAGGTCTTCTGGGTGTTTACAATTCACTCTGGAACTGTATCAGGCAGAACTAAAAACATTTGTTTGTCTTTTAATTCTAGTTATATAAACAAAACCATTTAAAACCACTTTAAAATAGGCTTATTTCATGTGGAAAGCATTTGCTTATAAGTATGGCCTTCAGTGGCTTTATATAAAACATTTTGGCTTTGTTAAAACATTTTGGCTTTGTGATTTATAGAGGATAGTGACTATCATGTAGATACTTGGTATTTGTACCATTGGTTTTCTTTTCTCACTGTAGTGCAAATACTATAATGTGTATATGACATAAATTCACTTCCTTGCCACAAAAGAATGCCTAAGTATATAGAAAGTTTATTTTTGAGAAATAACTGTTGACTTACTTAGCAGAACATGAAGTTCACCGTTGGGTTTGGTATTCTTAATTTTGAGTTCCTGTGCTATAACTGAATATGACTGTTTTTCTCCCAAATGCACTCCCTTTTGTGACCGAAGTCTAGGAGAGTAAGTAGTTCAGAATTTTAATAAATTGGACCATTCCGCATGTTTTTTTCCATGTATGTATTGATGTCTGATAGCATTTTAAATTTTAATTCTGCCTCTTTTAATATGAGAGTAGATTTTGTTAAGTTAAAGAATTTGAATGCACAAAAATGAGTGAAATTTTCCAAGTTTTCCTTGCCATTCTTGCTGTCACTTCTTTGAAAATGACTCTGCTCTCTCCCACCCCCTCCACCCCGTAGCTGACCTCCATCCTTTCTGGCTCCACCTTAGCCCGACCCCCTAGAGATGCCTCTGCTCACCCTAACCCAGTGAGTGACCCGAGTTCCTAGTATATATTCTGTCTGAAAGACATATCTCGTCACAACGTTTTCCTTTGGGCTGTCAATTGTGACTTCAATTGCATGAATGCTGTCTCTGCGACTAAATCTGTCAGTGCCCGATGTTGCTGTCCCTATGGGCATGTCCTTCCTGGTCATCGGTGCTCATTCAGTCTGCTGTTGCTAAACCCGGGTCAGCTAAGGGAGAGACTGGCACATTGAAGATCTGCTCATGCTAGAAATTACCCACAGCCTGATGACTTCTTCCCACGGGGAGAATATAGGCCCTAGAGCTTTAGTATTCTCCAACATGAAATATAGGCTTTAAGAGGGGCTTGGGGATGGATGGGGGTGGGAATTCTGGAGTATGGAGAAGAAAACAGCAGCCTGCTCATAAGGAGAAGAAGAGGTAGTGGTAGGAGTAGGAGCCAGAGTATCATCGAGGCAGCCAGCTGTCCATGCTTTTTGGTGGGAATGGCTGTGCACAGCTTTTGTCCCTGAGGGAGGATCAAACTCGTGAGGCGGAGCTCATATTTACCATGAAGGAAAGCAGATGCTAGATTTCAGTAGCCTCCTCAGAGAGCAAGGGACATGTTTGCTTTGGCTGTGCGGAATTAGGAAGTTTGGAAAATTGGCTGTTGTCAGAAGGCTGGATATTTATAGCCTTGCAGAAAAGCATAACAAATGCACAAGCACAGACCAGAAGTCTTTCGTGGTTTGTGTGTCTTTTTGTTGACCAATCCTCCTGCTCCACATTGCCCAAAACCGTCAGAGGAACCGTCCCTGCAGCTCTTTTGAGTTTTGTGCAGAGAGCAAACTTGCCAGTCTCTTGATTGTGATTGTTCTGTATTTTCTGTATATCACACCCTGATTTCTTTTTGATGCCTGCATTCCATAAATTGTATACTCAGAGAACAGTTGCAAGTAATCATCAGCAAGCATGTGCCAGGTAAATGTCGCTTTTTTGGTTTGCTTTGGGGCTGCACCTGGTAGGGCTCAAGGGGACCAAGCTAGGGATCAAAACCAGGCACCCTGCATTCAGAGCATATGGAGCCAGCCCATTGAGTTCCCTTTTCAACCCCGAAGCCTACTTTTTTTTCCCCCCCATGAGGCTTTACCTTGTGTTTCTATTAGGAGAATTTAATACTCAATATTGTGTGTTTAGGCTTTCATTCTCCTTTTTGAATTGTTATGATCTAGAAAATGGGAGGCCACAGAGACATTGCAGGGTGCATGTGACTGACCCCATTTTGATGACCAGCACCTCATATGGTTCCCTGAGCACCCCCAGGGGCACTGCTAAGCACAGGGCCAGGAATGGACCCACCTCTGGGTATGACCCCAGACACCCACCCACCCACCCCCCAAAAAAATAAAACTGAAGGTTTTTCGTTCAAGAAGTGATGATGCTATGAATATTCTAACTCTCTAAGATTAGGTAATGTGCCCCAAGGAAACTGTTAATGGGACATAGGGACCACTTTTCTATTTCCTTCTTGTAAATCTCAAATATGGCTTTGGCAGCTTCTCTTTGTCATTGTGCCATTATGATCTGAGTCATAAATACATAAGTACATACAAATATAGCATAAATTTTAAAATAATACATACACAATACAAAAAATAATACATAATAACACAAAAATAAATACATTAATACAAACCACTGACATTTTCCTTTTGTTCTTAATGTATCTACTCTCTGTATAGAGAATGCTACTGTTCGATTTTTCCATTCCTTCATTATGAAAAAATCTTCAGATTTCTATAAGAGTTGTGGAACTATGCAGCGAACACCTGCATGTGCATTTCAATTTTGATACTTGGAAGATTCTTCTGCAAAGTTGAACCTCTTCAAAACTGCACCAGCTCTCTCTCCATCAGACCTCCTGTCTACTTTCCTCATCTCAGTTAGGTCCACCGCAGTGAGTCCTGCCAGGACAGATGTGGCCGTAGACCTGGCCATCCTCCGCCAGACACCTACTGATGCACAGACTCCCTGCTGCCTGATGTTGAAACTTAGTGCTGTCGAGGTGGGGGAGGATTCGGGCTTAGGGATGTAGTCTGGGTAAATCTAAATGCTGAAACCATATAGCTCTTTGTTCTTTAGACGTATCAAGTATGCTTTCTCAGTGCCTCCCCCCCCACCCCCCCCCACCCCCCCCCCCACACACCCCTCTCCTTCAAGTGTCTTTGACATGTAGGATCTGGTTGAATTGCACGTACTGTGAAGAGAGCAGAGGTCCTAGTGGCAGTCATAACTTTTCTTGTCTGTTTCTTATCTTATCATGCCAAAATTGGGCTTTAGCCAGAACACTCCAGCCAGGTGCTTGCTTCCCCATCTCTCCCCACTAGCTCCTTGGAGTCCCAGCATTAGCACTGGGTATCATTTCTGCCTCAGTGGGAGACTTGGTCTCAGTCATTGCTGGACACATTCAGCCACCTTTTTGGGTTTTTTTTTTTTTTTCGGTTTGTTTTGTTTTGTTTTTTCAATCTGCAGTTACTGCAGTCAGGCACTGCCCAAACCAGAATGAGACAAATACAGTTCTTACCACTTAGGACTCACTGAAACGGGAACAGACAAGTAATTAAGGGAGAGTGTGATGGGAGCATTAATGGATTCAGGCCCCACAGCATCGCCCCACTGCGCGCTGGGAGGATGCATGCCCAGACTGAGGGTTTGGAAGATAGTTCTGACTTAGTAGAAACTCTCCATCTGCAGATTGGAGATCAGCGGCCATTCAGACAGAATGCTTGCCTGTTGGACACGAGCAGAAGAGCTCGGTCCTCTCTACTTAAAAGAATGGGATCTTCTACTTCCTCCCAGAGTACAATAAATTACTTCTCCGCAGGGTGGGCCTTTCATCTATAAATTAGGAATGGCATTGCCTACCTCAGCGTTACGTGGAGAGCTAGGGGATCATTTCTATAAGGCACCCAACAAGTTTTCTTCATAAACAAGATTTGAGTTCATCATCTAGCAACTGTTGATCTTCTAGAATCTGACAATAGTGAACAACAACTTGGTGGTCGATAGTCAAGGACAGTATATCTTCCCCTTTTGTTCATTCAACCCACCCCCTTTCTCTTGTCAGCTGGTCCCCAGTGTTCTTGACCTCAGCTCCAGCTTTGGTCCCTACTCTGCTCTGACTCATACCCCAGTTGATCTCCTCACTCCTGGACCAGACCTTGTACCTGATTCAGTGCGTCTAGGATCAGGCCCAAGAGTTTGCAAGTTTAACAAGCTCCTAAGTGACACTGATGTAAACTGGTTGGCAGAGAATTTATTCTTTGAGAACCACTGGGTTATCCATACTTCTCATAAAGAAAACTGTATGTGTTCCTAACTACATCACATGAGGTATAAACTCTTAAATTATTTAATAAATCTACTAAGCTGTATGGTCTCTCACTTTTATTCTACCCTTCACATAACGAGGCATGGAGATGTAACATGGGCTGCCTGGGTTAGGAAGTGAAGCACAGTAAAGTTAATGGTCCCATCCCTTCAGTTACTTAGGGGAGAAAAAAATCAGCTAGGAAATGTATTAAAGTAAACGTCAACAGAAATACTCTAAAATACTTCAAGCGAGGGGCTGGAGTGATAGCACAGCGGGTGGGACGTTTGCCTTGCACGCGGCCCGACCCGGGTTCGATTCCCAGCATCCCATATGGTCCCTGAGCACGGCCAGGAGTAACTCCTGAGCATGAACCAGGAGTAACCCCTGTGCATCACTGGGTGTGACCCAAAAAGCCAAAAAAAAAAAATACTCCAAGTGAATATTAACAAATTCACTGAGTTTTGTTGAAATTGAAGCTTTACTTATTGGTACATTAGATTTTCGCTTCTCGGCCTTTTGGCTAAGACTTTCTTATAAAGGCATTTAATTCTTATCTTTAATTATTGCTACTTCTAATCAGATTTCACATTTCTAAAATAAGAATTTATCTCCTGAACCAGGCCTTCAGGCTTCCCTGGGCTCGCCCCACTTCTTATTTTTATATCCTCATCAGCACTTCTCCACTTGATCCCTCACTCTCTCGCAGGGTTCTGCTCTTCATTGTCTAAACATTTCCGACTTGCCTCACTTTGCAGTCTCCCACTAACATATGTTGG